TTCAAGTACTGAAAGAAAATAACCTCCAATGCAGATTTATGTACCCTGCAAAACTACCTTTGAAAATTGATGGAGAAATAAGATACTTTCATGCAAAGAACAACTAAAGAAATTCATGAGCACCTACCCAGCTCTCCAAAATTATCTGAAGGATGTTTTACAACAAATGAGGGAGGCCAAAATGACAAGAACATCAACAGAAAGAATCAATTGGGCAGGAAAAGCAATTAAACAGGAGGGAAGGACCGAGTCCCTACAACAGGAAAATCAAGTGAGAAGCATAAGCCAAAACACAGCAGTTAGAAGCATCAGTGTGGAACAGAATCAACAGAAACAGATTGGCAGAATGGATCAAGAAACAAGACACAACAATATGCTGTATGCAAGAAACACATTGAATTCCAAAGGAAATTCTTAGGCTGAAAGCCAAAGGATGGAAAACAATACTTAATTTGAAAGGAACCAGAGGAATGCAGGAGTGGCTACTGAATTTGCTGAAAATGTGAACTTCAAACCAAGACTCATCAAAGCAGACAAAGAAGGTCACTACATACTTGTTAAGGTAAAACTGCAAGGGGAGGAGACGACAGTCATAAATATATATGCACCAAATACCAGTGCACCCAAGTACATGAAACAAATAATAACAGACATGAAAAATCAAATAAACACCAAAACCATTATAATGGGCACCTTAATACTCCACTGTCACAAATAGATCAACTAGACCAAAACAACAAAGAAATATCAGAACTAAAACTAAGTTGTGGAAAAATGGACTTTGTAGATGTTTACAGGGTATTCCAACCCACAGCATCAAAATACATATTCTTCTTAGCTGCACATGGCATGTTCTCCAATATAGACCAGATATTCGTGCGTAGAACATGCTTAAGTAAATGCAAAGGAATTGAAATGATCCCACATATACTGTCTGTCCATAGCGCAATGAAATTGGAAATCAGGGGCCAAAGAAACCACAAAAAATGCTTAAACAGCTGAATATAAGGTAACATCGTGCTGAACCACTAAGAAGTCACATGAAATGAAAGAAGAATTTAGCGAACTTCTACAATTATATGATAATGCTGAGAGAACACACAGGAACTTATGGGATGCAATAAAAGTAGTCCTAAGAGGGAAATGTATAGCAGTGAACTCTCACACCAGGAAAATAGGATGAGCTCAAATAAACAACCTAATGTTGACCCTCAGACCTCTAGAAAAGAGAAACACATAAAACCTAAAGCTCAAATAACAGGGGAAATTCTAAGATAAGAGCAGAAATTAATGCAATCAAGACTGAGAAAACAATTCAATGCATGAATGAATTGAAGAGTTGTTTCTTTGAAACATTAATTAAAATTGGTAAAACCATAGTTCACCTTATGAAAATGAAGAAAGGAAAGACCCAAATCCATGCAATTAGGAATGAAAAGGGTGAAATTGCAATGAATCCTG